AAGCCACAGAGGTGAAGACTGACATGTGAGTAGCTTTTTTTTGGTGGTTAAACCTAGTAATATAGGGATAATGGAAAAGAAGTGGAAACTACTATATTACAATAGGGTATATATTGGGGTTATATTGGGGTTATATTGAGTAGTTTTTTTTTGGTGGTTAAACCTTGTAAGATTATATTCCTCAAATTAAATGCTATACCCCAAAAGGAGGATATAATCTTACTCTATATTGGGTAACATAGTATCCCCAAATAAAATACTACTCATGTGAGTACATTGATGAACCCCCAGGGGTTTTATAGGGGTTAGGGTTTAGGGGTTTAAGGGTTGGGGGTTTAGGGGTTTAGGATTTAGGGGTTTAGGGGTTTGGGGTTTAGGGATTTAGGATTTAGGGGTTTGGGGTCTAGGGGTTTAGGATTCAGGGGTTTAGGGGTTTAGGATTTAGGGGTTTAGGGGTTTAGAGTTTAGGGGTTTAGGGTTTAGGGTTTAGGAGTTTAGGGTGTGGGGGCTACGGAAAAGGTTTAGGGTTGAGGATGTATGTACCATTTGTATGAGGACTTCCCAAAATCAGGGGTACCTTTTTGGGGGTCTCCAGAATACGGATTTTAATATTTTGGGGTCTACATTATTGGGTTTCCCTGATTTTGTTTGTGAGACTACCGCATGTGCACACACGAATGTTGGTAGATGTATGTGCATGTGTATCTTTTTCATGCAGATTGCAGACAAGACTGACAACACTACTGGTTCAGAAATGCCAGAGAAAATAAATATGAGTGCAGTCGGCAAAAGTAGTCAGAAGTTGATAAAGAAAGTGACAAATGCAACCATAACCTGCAATTACCAGGCAGCAGTATTCCTACTCTTGGTACCCTCAACCCTAAACCCAAAATCCTATCAAGTCAGAAACTTTTTCTACCACATGGATCCTGGAGGGGTCGGTCGCAAGCGAAGGGCAGGATGTACTTGGCCTTCAACATCTCCAGCTCCTTGCATGTCGCTCAGGTGAGTGGGAATTTTTGCGGTTTAACCTAGTAAAATTGCATTCTGTATGAAGCAGTATTCTACCCAAAAGGAGGATATAGTCTTACCATAGTCTCCCCAGATAAAATACTCCTTAGGCGAGATGGTTCCCAGGCGGGAGTTCCCAACCCCTAAACCCTAAACCCTAAACCCACAAGGTTCCAGTGTTACCAGGCCACGTCAACTTTCAGCCTCGTGGTTTAGGGTTTAGGGTGTACGGGTCCAGTAGGGGTTTAAGGTTTAGGGTTTCGGGTTTAAGTTTGGGGTCTAAGGTTTGGGGTTCAAGGCTTGGTTTTTTTGGCGAACCATAACACTGCCCGAAGCAAGTATTAATCGCAAGACTGGCAAAAACCGTAGCAAAAACAAATTGTGGAATGATACCAACGGTCTCCATATCTGTCACAAGGACAATGGTACATCCAGGCCCCTTTTTCCCCAAATATTTGGAATTTGGAACCTCGCGCTGAACCCAAGCTTGCCCAGTTCAGTAAACACCAACTGAGCTGCCTGAACTGGGATAAAAGCAACTCAGCAAAGAAACCCGCTAAACTCTAAATCCCAAACCCTAAACATCCCCCTAAGCCCTAAATCCTTAACCCTAAATCCCTGAACCGTAAAGCCAGCTCTAGACCTTGAGCATCGTCGCCCTCCCTAACCTTGGAATCCAGCGATCGCCTGCTTGAAGCTCTGTTGCTGGTCACTGTCCAGGCTTTTCCCGTGCGTTGCGGCATGGGTTCCGCCTGGGGGCAGCATTCTGGCTGAGTCCGCGGTTAAAGGCTTAGTGTGTTTTTTCAACTCCTTTTTCCGACTGATTAATCCAGGCGGAAAGCGCTTACGCGCAGGAGCACAACATGAACTGCAGCTCCAAACAAAGGGTTTAGGGTTTAGGGTTGGAATTCTCATGTCAAGGACCCCAATATAAGGATACATAGACTTGAATTTAGCGGGCCCATCAGATTGGCTAAGCTCATACTGAAAACAAGGCAATGGGGAGAACATACCCTATGCGAACCACCGTTTTGGGAAAGCTTGGGTGAGGTTGTTGGAATTTGCCCAGAGAGCAAGGGCTTCTGGATTAGTGTCATCTTCTAACCCTAGGCTTCAGGGTGCATAGCCAGGCGTAGTCACAGACGATCACTACTCATCAGCAAGAAATGGTAGCATTGCTTATTGCCTGCATCGTTTTACGAAACCTTTTGCCATCTGTGTGCGTCAATCAATGTTCCTGTGGCCAGCCACATGAATGACATCCGCAGTGGTGCACAAGATCATGTTTTAGTGTTTGGGTTTAGGGTTTAGGACTGAAACCCAAGCTTGGTTACTGATGCTTAAGCACATGTGGAAGAGTGAGGTCAGCTATCGTTCTAGAGGTGTGGGTACGAGGATATCACAGCCCCCAATTCCAAACCCCAAACCCCAAACCCTGCACCCGAAGCACAGGTAGCAGAAAGGCAACTGCTGGAACTACAGGCCTGTCATAGTCAAAGCCCGCCGGCGGACTCTCTCCTCGTACTCCGCCCTGGGAAGCTGGCTCTCCAGCAGGTTTGCTTGAAGGTATGTATAGCTACACATGCACATAGCTGCACATATATATGTATATACACGTGTATTTGTACATGTAGATATATATATATATATACATATACAGATAAATGCATGCACAGACATATTGGGCTAGGGGGTGGATGAATGTTCTTGACCATGGGTACCGTCGCGATGCTAGCCATTCAGGTAATAGGCAATTCTGGCTGACATTGTTAGAGTCATTACAAGGGTTACTTCGTTATGTAGGGTGTTATATAGGATTATTTAGGGATTACATTAAGGTTATATGACATTGTTGCTACTGACATCACTGCTCCAGGTTTTCCTCCTGTTGTCATTCTTTGCGATTCTCACCATCACTGTCTTCAAGCAGTCAGCAGCTGAGCCTGCCTCAAAACAGAAGCCCTCCCTGCGTGCCCCACAATAACATGGATCTCCCTCTCAGGGACTCCCAAAAATGGCACATGGAAGTTTCAATAGTGGGGGCCCTTCGGGACCGTAGGGAATATTTTGGGATCATGGAGGGTCTCTATTGAAGATTATGTAGAGGTAATTTTGTGCAACTCCAGGAGCACTTTCGAAAACTCCTGCTGGTAACCCTAAACCCTGAACCCTAAACCCTGAGCCCTACACCCTAAACCCTGAACCTTAAACTGAATGAGCTCGGAACCGTCGAGCATGGCGAACGCGCCGAAGCCGGCAAACGAGGCAGCTCTGGAGCCCAAAGCCCTCCGGCGGGCGACAGAGCTCCCAGTCCCACAGGCAGCTGTGGGCTGCGCGGTAGGCCTGGCGAGTAACCCGTCAGGGCGCCCTTAGAATTTCAGAGTGGCCTCTCAAGCCCTGTCCCGAAACCCCTGAAACCCCTCTGCCCGACTTTTTAGGGCCCTTCAGGGGGCTGCAGGGGCCTCCCAGGTCTCTCAGGCCTTTCTTGCCTTCTACAGGTCCATTTGTTCAAGATTGGAGGTATCCAGTCAGGGCACCATCTGAAGAAAACTGGAGGCCTCAAACCCAAACTGGCACCGGTCTAGTCTGGACAAGTCCAGGCTCAATCTCAATAAGCACAAGCACCCGGAAGCCAGAGCCATCCCAAACCGTGCACCCGCCTGGTCTAGACAGGTGCCCGGGCAAGGTAAACGGGTGCAAAGAACAAATAAGAAGACATGAGCATGTTCAAGAGAACCCTAAACCCGTAAAGGTCGAGGCAAGGGTGGAGCGCCAGCCGGGGTGGGCTCCTGCAGGTCAGGGTGCACGCCTGGGTGCTTCCAGCACCAGCGCACCTCCTCACTGAGACACCTGAACCCTGAACCCTAAACCCTGAACCCTAAACCCTTAACCCTTGGTCCGGGGATGCTGACCGATGCTTGCGCACTTCGGCCAGGGTGACGTCTGCCTTCTGCCTTGAGGCTTGGGCGAAGCAAGGCTTTAGGGTTTAGGGTCTAGGGTTGAGGGCTGAAGGGTTTAGGGCTTAGAGTAAGTTTACCTACTACTGCCTGTAAAACTACTACTTGTTCTAGGGTGCGTCCTATACGTTTGCCCGGGATTCGGGCTGTCGACTCAACATTGGTTGTTCTTGGGGGGGTTGGGGGGGGATGGTAACGTTTGTGTTTAATGCCACCTCCTTTTGCCTGAGCAGGGCACCTCACTCCTTGTGAAGCAAACCCAACCAGCAACTTTCCTGAAAAGACATGGCTAGAGAGACTCTGTCCTCCAGCCATTCTCGGTAAGCCACTACAGCCTCGACCACAGCTTCAATGCCTGGCTCAGCATCGATGCTGTAGGCTGCCAATGCATCGATGTGGTCTCGGTTGCTTGCTGAGCACTTCTGGCCCAACTTGTTTGTCCGACGCAGCCCCTTCTTCACCATGCCCGCCAGGGCCTCACAGCGCTGGTCTCCAGCCACCATAGTGATGGAGGTGCAGCTCTCCTTCGCGCGCTTACATCTCAGGACCGTGTCCTTGGCTTTGCTGCCCAGGTCCTTCTTGTTGATGCATGCCACGTGTGTATACTCTGCTTGGTTGTGCTTCGCGCTTGCGGA